CCCGAAGCGGATTCGAAAGATCCGAAGCCGCGCCTCTCCGCGTTCACCAGCAGCCAGTCCAAGGCCTGCAGCAGCTGCCAGAGACGCCCCCGGCCCTGGTCGTCCAAGACCTTCACAGCCTCGCGACTTCGCGACTTCGCGACTTGGCGAGGCGGTTTGGCGGTTTGGGTAGACGAGTCGACCTGAGTCTTCGGGTGGGTGTGGGGGGTTTAGGACGGGTTTTGCGGTCTTTGGCTTTGGGGCGGTTCAGGGTAGGATGTTGTTTCCTTTCTTTTCCGGGGGGGGGGGGGGGGCGGGGGGCATTTTTTTTTCATGGACCACCAAGGTGAAATGGGGAAAGACTCTCAAGCAATGGTCCTGCCACCCTAGGTCCATCATAAGGCGGCTTGGCTCATGGGCAAAGTGAAGCTGGAGTCCCTTGAGCTCGCCGGAGCTCTGCTCCAGGGCGATGTGTCTGTTCGGCCCCCCCCCAAACAAAAAGTGGTGGGTTTGATTGGACACCAAAAGGAAAGCACGCACCCCTTTGTTTTGTGTTTCCAATTTCGAGACAAACCCAGATGATGGAAGTTGGGAGAAGTTCAGATGGCTTTCTTGCTCCGATCGGAAATTTGAGTTTCTCGCCCAAGTGAACCATCCAAGTGGCGTCCTTTAACGGAACAGGAATGCCGGCTCACTGATTTCCCCATTGAGAACCACTACATGTTTTTTGCAACACCAAAAGACAACCCAAAAAGCACAAAGAAGCAACAGACAAAACCACAAATGAACAAGAGGCAAACAAAAATCACAGCTCTAAACCCAAAATGCATGATAATCATGAAAACCTTGCTGAGCTCTCGCAATGGTCTCTGCACCATATCCCCCATGCGGACAGTGGGCTGACATTAATATGATGTATGGGTGCCTGTTTCAAGACATGCTGGCCTGCAGTTCAAGGTGATCCAAACAAGGGTCCATATGAGCATACATGTTCATTGGGGACCCGTTGGTGGGCATCCTTTAGGCGGAGATTTATGAAACATGTCCACCAGGGTGTTCCCTATGAAAGTCATAATGGTTGCGTCTTCGAATTGGGCTCTCCTCCAGCAGAGCCATTTCAAGTTCATTTTGAGGCAGATCCATATATGTCTTTTTCTCGAAACGGCCCCCCCCGCCTTGGATTTCAAGGGAATCTGAAAGGAAACAAACCACCTGGAGGAGATAGACCGATTCGTGTGATACAAGACATCTCGACTCTCAATTGCAGCTTGGATTGGTGCTTTGGCAAACAGGGGGTGGTGTCACATTTAGCCTTCACAAGAACCAGGGCTTCAAATCCAGATCCAAGCCACCAATTTCAAGCCACCAAAAAAGGCTTGCCTGAACAAGGCATCCTAGGAAAAACACAACACCTGCTTGCTGCCGAGGCGCGTGAATTGTGCTGTGCTTGGCTACACCGTATCTGGCAGATCGAAGAAAACGGAAATCAAACACTCAGGAAAAAATGGTTTGCCACCAAAATGCTCCTCCCAGGAACTCAGCAAGTGAGGATTGTATATACAAGTCTTGTTCAGTCATGAAACCTCATGAGACTCTAAGGTGACATCATGAAGAAGCTTGTCTTCGTCTAAGAGCCTAGTGGTAGAAGGCACAAGCCTTGGCAAAAGCCATCACCGAGGCCTCTGAAGACAGATACCCAAGGCCACGGCTAGCGGCGCTTCTTGGGTGTCGAAAACACAGATCCACATGTGGGGATATATCGTGGGACGGGCATTGCGAAAAGAAATCCGAAGCTCTAGCTGTCCCCACGTAAAGCTGGAATCGCCACCTGGAAGATGCACCAAACACTGGCATTTGCTTCGTGAAAGTCAAAATCTCAGGGCAAGTTGAAAAATTGCCAGGAATACCGTTGACGAGTTTTGCCCTCCAATGCGCTTGGCCGAACAAACGTCATGCTGGTGCATGTATGCCATGGAGAAGTCAACACATTCAATGTGAACGCGTTGAATATCTCCTTACGTCGGGCCATGGGAATGGTGCCCTTAACCCCTACATGGAACCTGTCTGGTAGAACAAGTTGGCTGTTTGGTATGACCTGTCGGTAGAACTCCATGGGTAGAACGCGTCTGGCACGTTCCTCCTTGGAGTCCCAGACAAAAAGGGGTTGAAATAAGCTTCAGGCGATCTTGGCTCTGGACTCGAGTGGCTTGCTTTTGGTTGTTCACTTTGGTGGCTGGGGTGAGCCCAAACCAACAAGCAATAATGCTAAGGTCCCCACGAATTCGCCCCCAAACCACTACCCCCAGGCAAAAACGGGTACATCAAGGTCGAAAAACGACGCCGCTGAGGCCAAACGAAGGAGCCAAATGATACATTCCCACAGCAACCTTGCTTTTGAAGCCCCTCCCAGCAAAACAGCCCTGCTCGAATAGTTGTGGAGGTGGGAAAGATGTCTTGGAGGGGGGGGGGGGGTTAGGGTCTCTGAAAAAGACGGCCTGAAAATTAGGCGTTCCTCGAGCAAAGGACCTTCATAATGAGCTTGTTTTACCCTCCAGCTTAAATAGTGCGGGAAGATGCTCGGTTTCGGAATGATTGCATTTTTTGCGGAATTTTGGGTTCGACTTTTCAGGGACCCCCTCATTCACAAAAGAAACTGGCCCAGGTGGTATTCCCAACAGCCTTAGAGTTGCGGACCACTCCAGAGCTTGTTGACACAAGAATCAGAGGGACCACACCCTCCCCTCCCCCCCGCACAACCCCCCCCCGCCAAGAAGTCGGTACTTTGCTTTTGAGGGACCCACAACCCCCTCCGCACAACCCCCCCCCCGCCGCCTGTGTCCGCCCACTAGCCCGGCCAGGCGTGTGCCGTGACCCCGGTGGTCGGCGGCGCAGTCCTACCAACAGCAGTGGTTTCGAGTCGGTTTTTCTTTGGATTCCGTTTGGTTTCCCTTTGGTTCTGTAGTTCTTTGGCTTCCCTGTGCTTTCCCTGTACTTTCTCGTTGGTTTTGGGTTTCCTTTTAACGGCATGGTCAAAATGGGTGTCTTTTGAGGGATGCTTTCTGGGGGTGATTCAAAGGAAAACCAATGGGAAACCGTCAAACTCGGCGTTGCCTTCAAATCCGTTGCTTTCCCTTTAAAACCAAGCCAAAAAGAGTACCATCAAAAAAGGCACCCAAATGACGAGGTCTAACCAGGAAATGTGGATATGTGAGCCATCTGTCTTGTGACCATGGCAACATGTGGGTCTTCTTTGGGAACCAGCTTTCTGAACTTTTCTGGGGAAGATCATCAGGGTGGGCCTTTTATAGGGGACCCTCGGAAAAAGTGATTGGTTTCCTGTGGGTTCCCTTTAAGCCAACCCCAAGCGGTCGGGTCCCCAACGAAGCGCAACACACCATGAAAGCACTGCTTTTTCAGGACCACAAAAGGACAACTGGGCTGCCCTCAGATCCCCCGATAAAAGTTGAACTTTTAGTGGGTTAGATGGAAATCCCCACTAAACACTCAAAAGCTAAAAAGCAAACGGGATGGCTGCGAACCACCGAAAAAACCAAAGCCTCTTTTTGTTTTGGCGGGGGGGGGGGGGGGGGCGTGGCTCCAAAAAAGACAAACCCACCCAGGTCGCCCGCCCGGACCTTGGAGTCGCCCTCGCAAATCCGCAGCCCCGCATCTCCCACCTGGCGCTTCCGCCCGCGGAAACGCGCCCAAGCGCTCGCGGAAGTGTCCAAGCGGTCGGCTCCAACAAGCTGGGGGGGGGGGGGGGATTTTGATTGAAGAGGTTTCTCAAGCTAGTGGCCCAACATAGATTGCTTTCTACGTGGCGCGGTCGTTGTTTGAGGGGACTCCCCCAAAAACGGCGTTGGTTTTCCTTCTGGTGTCCCTTCGAATTCCAACAAGGCGGCCCGCCACTTTGAGAAACACCCATTCAAAAAAACGGCCCTCGAACAAGAGCTGCAAAAAAAAAAGGCAAATGGAATGCCAATCTAATTCCTATCCCAACTCACCGATCAAAACCTATGGGAATGGGTAGCCTAATTGGAAGTCCCGGTCGGTGCGGGGAGTTTGTGTTGAAAGCAAAAGGAGTCCCCGGGACGTGTGAACCAAGCTGAAAGCGGAGATCTAGGCTGCGTTCAACAAAAGATCGGGTGTCTCAAAGATGGAGAAGGAATCCCGTTTGCCTGCTGTTTCAAGGGGAACAAGGAGATCGAAAACCCATTTGAGGGGGTGAACAACAGCAGTCCCACGTGCCCAAGATCGTTGTACCCCAGATTGAGTTAGTAGATGGCATAATTCCCCTTTTGTACGAATGTGTTTATAAAATACTACCTCGGTAATGCGGTTTAGCAATGTGAAAACTCACAATTGAATATTGTCCATGAAATAAATGAAGTAAGCTAGTTCAATCAAAGGAACAAAGCTGCTGGCATGAACCGAAACGGAGAAGTCAGCCATCTACTTTCACCCAACTGCACATCGGGTCTATGGGGGTGCATAGCCTTCCTCACCCCGAGAGAGAAATTTTATTGTCGTATCATGGCATGGACCAAACACCCCCACCCCCATACACCCGATACCCAAAACCCCCTCAAATTTCCATAATCAAAATTGTGTGGTCCCCGTGAGTTTCGGTTTCTTCTTCGTTTTCCTGCCACCAAACCACAAGGGGGTCCCACCATTTCAAGAAACCAAGGCTTTAATAGGAATACTCCAACGGGCAGAACTTCGGTCGCGTGGGAGAAACCAAAAGAAATCATTGAGGATGTCTTTGCCCTTGCCGGCACCCGGGTAACCAGCCCTTTTTCGACTCGGAATTTTGAGTTGGGGGGGGGGGGGCTGGTGGGATGGTGGGATGTGATATCTTCAGGCTCGACGCAAGCCTCGCAAGATAGGAGCCTAGGTTGCCTTGGCATCTCGCACTATTCAAATTGCTACGCCATTCCCGAAGTTGACCAACTCGTCAAGTAGCTGCACATGGGGGGGGTTCTCACATTAGTGGACCCCTTGTTGGGTGGCCCTCGTTTTGAGAAACACCCGTATCGAGCATCTGCCAAGTCGAACTGGAAAAGCCATTGGCTCCCCGGTCACCTTGTTGGCTTAGGTTCCCCAAGACAAGAAGGTTGGCATGTGGTTCCCAAACTCGTTGCTCACCTAAACCGCCCAAACACCCAAACACGGTGCCTCCAAAGCGGGCACTGCTCGGCCGGCCTTGGGCAGGGCCAAAGTAGATACCCCCAATGAACCCAGGATCAAGCAAAATGAGCGGAACCCTGGTTCAATTTGTTTGGGGGGGGGGTCCCCCTTCAGAGAGGATCTTTCACTTTGGTGTGTCACCCCCCAGTGAATTCGAGTCAACGTTGGGGGGTGGTTCTCCCTAAATCTGATCCCATCACGTTTAATGGGACCCAACCCGCCCACACCCCAAGTGGCCATGGGAAAAAGGATACCTTTCTTTGTTGGCTCTTTCTGGAAGGGTTTAGCCCTGCAAAAAGTTGCAAAATGGAATTGCACCCACTGGGCGTCTGGGACACTCACGGTACAAATGATCCAAATGATCAAAGATTATGAGAACATATTAACCATTGGAAGAGGTTTAAGTATTGAACAAGTCTTTGCACGTCAACAACCAAAAAGAGCTTTTGCAGCCAAATCCAGCCAAGACTTGCGGGGAAGGACTATCCCCCTTGCTTGACCAGGAGGCCAGGAAGCATGCGGCTGAAATTTTTGGTCTGGAAGAGCAGTGAAGGCAAAGCTTTGCATGGGACCCGCAAAAAGCCGCGCAAGAACTGGCATCGACCCGGGGCGCGCCATTGCTCCCGCACTTTGAACCAACTCCCAGGTCCTCCAAAACTGGCATCTCCAAAAGGCAGTGGCACCGGAAAACCGGGAAGTTAGAGGGCCCCGGAGTTGAGGCGGTGTCCTCTTGAAGACCCACAACCACCGATCCGAACCCAAAAAATCAACGGAGGGGGAGAACCACACCCCAAAGAGCCCTCGCCGCTCCGGGCGCCCGGGCAAAGTCCTTGTGACTTGTCCTGGAAGGAAATGGCACCGCGGCGGACGCGCAATCATCCCCTTTTACACGCGGCCAAAAGCGGCATTTCTCAGAAACGTGGGTCGACTTCCCTGAGCCGACTGAGAAAAATGAAGCCCCCGAGCCAAATCCGAGCTTTGGGTTCTCTTTGGAGTGATGTGGATGATTTGCTACCCGAGATTCCCCTCTTTTTGCAGGGAACAAATGTAAAGCGCTTGAACGAATACAACATACGCGCGAAATCAATCCAGCAAATCCCCGTTTTGGAGGGCAAACTGCAGGAAAACCCACTGTTTCCAAACCCAAGGGCTTGGCGGTTGTCGTTTTGGTTCCCCACGTCTCGTACCTTTGTTCCTGGACACCCCTGATACCGGGGTTCTCCTGATACCGGTGTCCAGGACGTAGACGTGCACGCTCTCCCCAGCTTTGGGGGTGTAGCGATAGGTCCTCCATGGCGACTTGCATACCACGGTCGAAGTCCCCCCACCGTTCCCTGACTTAACTGTGTCGTTGCCCAAACCAAAACTACGAAAATTACGGCGGAAAGTCAAAAAGGGGCGTGATTTGCATTTAACTGGCTGGTGAGTGGAAACCTCCATGCTGCTCTTTTGCTCATTCAGAGGTAAATGGTCATCGCCTGGTTTGCTCGTCCCTTAAACCCAGCCAAAGAGTGGTTGTAACTTGTAGCCCCTTGCAATCCCTTCAACGATCATGCGCGGGGGCCGGAGCACAATTCCAGGTCGGCAGGGAATTTTCGTACCCCAATTGTTTGGTTTGGGGATTCATTAAGGTTCATTGCCAAATTCCCTTGAGTTTCTACCGGCAAGTCATGGGTGACAGGAGTGGCCCCGGGAACTCAAACCCCTCTTATTGTAGGTTCCATGCAAAGCCCCTCTTGGAAACAAGACTCAGTTGCTCGGTGACCCTGGAAAAAAAACAGGAACCCTTTTTGGGGAAGACCATTTTTAGTGGGGCAGCCACTAAAAAAGGAAAAAGGGTGCCACTGAACAACTGAGAGTAGGTTCTCATGGTGCCAGCAGGTCACCGGTGACAGGAGGGTGGAAGACGAAGGCTAAAGCCTTTTTGGCGAAGCATCAAACAGCTTCTGCTCAACTCGCTTCCCCCAGCCTTGAGTTTGGACTTTGGCCCAAATGTACACGCCAAAAATCAAAGTGTCAGAGTTTGGCACATATGGCTGTCTCTTTTTTGAGGGTACCCCTTTTCTGGTAGGTGTTCAAGGTAAACCAAAAGGACAACCCACCATTTTGCGCTAACTATCCAATTCTGAAGACCCCAGTTCGGGTGCTTGCTGCTTGGGGTGTTTCTTGGCTTTCTGAGTCAGAATTCTGCTTGCAATGGCGCCTTTCCGGCTTAAAGGATATGGGTGTGGCTTTTTTAGGGAACCCCCAAAATGATGATTTCCTTTTGGTGTCCGTTTAAAACCACCCAAAAAGGGGCACCCTCAAAAAAGACACGCCCATATTCCGAATGGGCGCTTTCCCGCTGATTCCCTTAAGCCCAGCAGGGGCGATTGTACCGTCGACTTGGTTGGCTAAGTTGAACATCGCCTCCCACAGGACTAGATTCCAAAAATCAACAAGTCACAGTTGCTGCCGTACCCAGATTACGGCAGCAACTGTGACTTGTTGATTTTCGGAATTTACCCTGCAGCAGGGTTGCCTTCTTCCCCGTTTAAGCATCCTTGCGGAGCCCCAACAGATGTTTAAAGCCACCCTTCAAGATACAGGGGGCCCTTGTGGGGAAATACCCAGGGATCAAAGGCGGACGCCGTGGAAGACGTGACAACTAGACCACGGTTGGCCCGAAAGCATAACATCGCAAGCGAGGTCGGCCCAACGCTGCCGGATGCGTTCTTTTTCCCTACACGAAGCATTCCTGAAGCAAGCGCGAGACAGCACCAGGCAAGGTGCTCTGCGCAAACTGGTCGGTGCAAGTCGGTCTGCGCAAGTTGCTCTACGCAAGTTGCACTGTGCAAGTTGCTCGGCGCAAGTTGCTCCGCGCAAGTTGCTCCGTGCAAGTTGGTCCCTGCAAGTGGCTCCCTGCAAGTTGCTCTGTGCAAGCTGCTCTGTGCAAGTTGCTCTGTGCAAGTTGCTCTGCGTAAGTTGCTCTGCGCAAGTTGCTCTAGGCAAGGCGCTCTGCGCAAACTGGTGCGTGCAACTTGCTCCGCGCAAGTTGCTCTGCGCAAGTTGCTTTATGCAAGTTGCATCTTGCGACGCCCGCCCGCGGACCAGGGAGGAATCGAACCCGCGACCCGCCGGTCCCGGGAGCAGGCGCGCGAACCACGAGACAACTCCCGAGGACCAGTTCGAACAACAAAAGTTGCAAAAAACCTCGACCGCCGATTCCCGCAGAGGGTTGCGCGAGCACCGCGGAAATCGCAAAAAAAGCCTCGAGTTTTTGCACCTTGACCACGCCGATCCCCGCAGAGGGTCGCGCGAGCATGTTAAAAATCGCAAAAAACCTCGAGTTTTTGCACCTCGACCACGCCGATCCCCGCAGAGGGTCGCGCGGGAACTTTAGAAATCGCAAAAAACCTCGAGTTTTTGCACCTCGACCACGCCGATCCCCGCAGAGGGTCGCGCGAGCACTTTAGAAATCGCAAAAAACCTCGGTTTTTGCACCTCGACCACGCCGATCCCCGCAGAGGGTCGCGCGAGTCGCAAAAAACCTCGTTTTTGCACCTCGACCACGCCGATCCCCGCAGAGGGTCGATTTTCGTGTAGTGTCGTCGGCACTACCCCGCCGCCCTAAGAAGAGATTTTAACTCCTCGCAAGTCAATTGCACTTGACTTGACTGCCTTTGCACTTGCAACTTGCACTTGACTCCATGCACTTGCAACTTGCACTTGACTCCATGCACTTGCAACTTGCACCTGACTCCTTGCACTTGCAACTTGCACTTGACTCCTTGCACTTGCAACTTGCACTTGACTCCATGCGCAGCTCGCAATGACTCTCATGACTCCTTGCAATGACTTGCAATGACTCCTTGCAATGACTCCTTGCAATGACTCCTTGCAATGACTCCTTGCAATGACTCCTTGCAATGACTTGCAATGACTCCTTGCAATGACTCCTTGCAATGACTCCTTGCAATGACTCCTTGCAATGACTCCTTGCAATGACTCCTTGCATTGACTTTCATGATGATGCTTCCTTGCAATGACACCTTGTAATGACTCTCATGAGAACAACTCAAGTGAACCCAGCGGAAGAACCCTTCGCCATGCTTTCGAGAAAAACCGGGGGCCCGGGCCGATTGCCGTCCACCTAGGAGGCGGCTGCGAGTTGCGGACCCCAACTTGGATGTCCACTGCAGTAAGCAGGATGCATGTTGTAACCGTAATTATGAGGGTGCTAAATTACAAGTAAGTCATAACCATGATTGTAACCGACTTAGCAAGTTACAATCATGGTTCTATCCTTACTAGGTTGGTTGGACAGCCAGAAGTAGCCCCTGAACCACGAACCCAACTAAGGGATGCCAGACAAATGGAGGATGTTTGACAAAAAGAAGAAGCGCTACGACATTTAAACATGGCGTTGGCCCGAGACTGGGGGGAAACCCGGCGGAAAAGAAATTCGGGCCTCTTCGGTGCGGGAATCCTTCTGCAGGGTTCCGGTGAGGCCACTTTTGGCGGGCTAAATTCGAAACCCAACCGCTAAACACTAAAAAGCGAAAAAACTAAGGAACCGGATGGCTGGGAGCCAGCAAGTGAATACTCAACAAATTCACCCGAAGGGTCCCAAAAAAATGACGGCTCGATCTTTGCGGGGTCTTGACGGAAATGAAAGCAATCTATGGGTGTCTTTTTTTGGGACCCCTGGTTTAAAGGGAAACAAAAGCAACATCAGCAATTGGGGGGAACCCGTATTTTGAGACTGCTATTTGGCATCAAGAAGTCTGTTCAGATTCACCAAGCAAGAACCTGCATCTTGGCACAAACCTGGGGTACACCAGAATACCACACTAATTATATCCCACATGACGCAGGAACCTCCAAATCGGTGAGCTCTCGTGTACTAATTCATCGAGACACAATGCTCCTGGCTTATCTGCGTGCAGGTGGCACCCTTTCGCGCATTCTTTTCAGCGGATGGCCTTGTGTCGCGGAATGACCTGCTCTCCCCAACACGTCCGTTTTTCATCAAGGGCGTCCCTTTTTGTCTCTTCTTCATCTTACCCCAAGTTGGTGGTTGGATTGGTGGACTAGAAATCAAAAGGAGCCGGGGCCGAAAGCCCCAAACCATCCAAACCCATTAGGAAGCCGCCGACTCCTAAGTAGCCTGAAGTCCATCTTGGGTCCCGGGGACCCCTCTGCTCGTCTTGCGGCCCCATCATCCCTTTGAGCAAGGAGCAAGGTCTGGGTGTCCCATTCTAAGCAGACATCTGAATCCAAAAAGCCTTTAGGATGTATGGGTCCTGGGGCACGAATCACATGGCAAAATGACCCCTCCTGCTTGGACGTTCAACCAACTTAGTAGACCAAGCCCAGCTGCCCAAGTTACCATGGTTGTAACCTTACTAAGTAGGTTGGACATCCAAGTACGGATCTACCCTCGAAGTTTTCATCCGGTCAAACTACATCTAAAAGATGCGGGGTGATGCATAACCTGACTCTGGCCGACTCAGCTCAGCCAATGCCCCACTCCACAGCGCTCAAGGCGCCACCTAAAACTTTTCAAGCGAACCCGAACAAATCTGAAAACGAGGATCCTCAAAAGGATTGCTCTGAGAACACTGGCTTTTGGGTCTCTTGGCCCAAATCTGGTGTACACGAAATGACATCTGTTTAGACTCTGGTTCCGCATGAAGTCTACCCTAGCATATGAAATCAATGTTGCCAGGAAACCCCAGGTTAATCTGAAAAGGGGTACATGCATGCTGACGAATGTCAGTTAGCAGCGAACCCGACAAGGAAGCAGAACCCGTCGCACACATTGCAGGACTCAGCTTGCCGTATGAATCAAAGAAAGCACGGGATTCCGCAGAAGCCCAGCCTGTAAACATCCCTCTCCCCCCCAAGGTCCCTTCAAAGTCGCCTCTCGCGAATGGCACCCGGAAACCCCTGGGGTCGCAGTTTTCCGACAGATCTGCGCGCCTTTTGGGTCTCGCAAATGCGACCCGCCTATCTTGACGCGACACGCCGACTCGCCTCACTCGATCCTTCGACCGACGTCCAACGCAGCTCACTTGCCCAAGTCCAGTGGAAAAGCAGAGGACTCAGGGAGCCAATGCTATAGAGCTGCTCGAGTTCTTCACTTCGCCTAGTTGAACATGCCCCTTCTTGCCAACCGCTGCTTTCCCCATCTTCTCAAGGAGCCTGCTAAAACAGAGAGGCTCTGTTTGGAGAAACCGGGTGGCTGAATTCGGTCACACGTCAATTCGCGTTGGGCAGGTGAGAGGTCCTTCTTTGTGACCTATCGAGTGATCGGCGGCGCGAACCTCACTCTGGTGGATTCCCTTCTTTCGCAAGGTCAAACACCTTGCAGGGGCATCCTGATCATTTCCTAGCAAATAGGTCGCGTTCCTGCGCATTCTCCTACACAATTGGATGATGCGTTGGGCCTGCAGCCGAAAACTTGCGAAGCGTGGCCAAACCTTCGCACTCTGGCGGAGGTGCTAACTTGACAAAGTGGAACCAAGGAATCCTGACGGCGCAAGTTCGTTGCCTGCTGCTATTGAACCTCGCCACGTTGAATTCAGATATTTGTGATTCTGAAAAAATCCATGCATCTATATACACATACATCGAATGGATCCCTTGCTTTTTGCCACATCTTTAGCCTCCTCCATCTCCTCCTCCTCTTCCTCTTCCGTCGTCCCCTTCCTCATCCTCCTCCTCCTCCTCTGTCTCCTCCTTCGTCTCCTCCTTCGTCTCCTCCTCCGTCTCCTCCTCGTCCTCCTCGTCTTCCTCCTTGACGCTGACCGCGGGCCGCAGGAACCAGGTGATCAGCTCCGTTACTACGACCACGCCCGCCAGGAAGAAGAGCATGCCACGAACCCCGCTCTCAGCAAGCACCACCTCGAGTAAACCAAAGAAGGTGATGATTATGGACCGAACAATGCACCGGTTGCGATGGATGAAACCCTGCAAATATTGAAATAAGCCAACCATCTAAACACGTTCTTAGGCGGCTTTTGTAGCCAAAGGTGTTGGATATCTTCTGTGCTTTTGGGGCCTCGCAACTAGAACCCGGTTTGTGCTGATGAGTTTCCCCGGTGGACCAAGCTGCAAGTCTTCTTTCCTTTCCATAGTCACCAACTACAGAGGCTTCCCAGAATTCTTGGTGGAGTTGTGAAGCTCCTAAATGCCTTTGGTCGATAGCACAGCGGTTCTTGGTTTCGCTGCTTAGCTGGGGCAAGGTCTATATGGCTTAAACATAAAATGGGAGATGGCGAGCGCCAACCTTTGGGTTTGCCTTTCAGGCAAACCCAGGGGAGTCTGAAGGAAAAATCCGGGGTTAACGTCCCCATTGATCAACCTGGATAGAGGTTTTATTCGTTCGGTTCCCCCAAAAAGGTGCTGTTTGCCCCGCGAGGCTCCTGCTTGATCCTGGGTTCCGAGTAACCCAAAACCCAATTCCCACAGCCATGGTAGAGGCCCTCTACCAGGCACCCTCTCGGCTGGAATTTTGTGCCTCCGATTGGTGTTTTGTTGTTTCTTTTGGTGTTCTCTTGTTGGTTGTTTCGATATTTGTGTGGTTTTGGGCAGGCTTGATCCCATGGAAAGGCTGTCTGAGAATGGCATTGTCGTTGGTTCTGTTTTTTTGTTTTTTTTTACTTATTTCTTTGGGGGGCTTTGTTTTTTGGGATTTCTCAAGTGTGTGTTTGCTATTTTGGAAACACAGGAATGCATTAGAACAGCAGCAAATGACATTTACACACACACACACACCTCGAAAAAAACAGAACCGTTTATACAGCCAAACAACACAAACAAATGCACAGTCCCCTGTTATGTCTTCTGTTTTCTTTTCTTTGTTTGGGGGGGGTTGCCTCGACAAAAAGTCGCGTTGGGACCGTTGGTAGTTTCCGCCTTTGACTCGATATGCGCAAACAATCGTAGCACTGTTTGACGAACAATGCATGTGACGTGCTTTGAGGAAATAAAAACGGAACAACATTCCTGAAACTCGCAAAAAGTCTAGACTTGTGCAACGCTCAAGGCCCTTTGACAGATTAAATGAAGTGCAGGGCGCAGCGACTTAATGCAACCCACGGACTTGTCCAAACATGATGGTCAGGGCATCCCAAGAGGATCACTGGCACATCTACTGCGAGCTGCATTGACTCGACACGGCCAGTGCGCGACTGGAAACGTCGGAATTCTTCGTGTCTTTGCCCAAGTTGTAGCTATACCGGGAAGTGGGCAAATCGTAGTCCGTCCCCCCAAACACCCAGAAATGTCTGGCCCCAAGCATCATAGAGGCCCCTCCAATAGGGGGCTTGAGGGACCTCCATTGGTTTTGGTTTTGGGCCTCGTTTCAAGGGATTGCCGGTTTGAGGCCCGTTCGAGGCTTAGAGCAGCTTGAAGGTGCTAGGTCAAACAAAAAAGGCGAAAAAGGAAGAACGGCCTTCTGAAAAAATTGGGCAATGGAGGGACTACAACCCTGAAGGGAACTAGGAACTAAGGTGGCGCCTATGTCCCTTATCAACTCGAGGTACTCCAGGCAATGAGATCAGCGAGCTCAAGAGGTACTGGGCGCAAAGGGCCACGCTGGTCGCTACGCCGGCGATGTCCTCACGGGCAGCTTGCGGTCACCCAAAACCCAAAAGCCCAAAAGCCAATTCATGGAGCTCGCGGTCACTTTACCAGCAAAAAAGAGGCGACCGTGGAAAATTGACCTTCCCATGTCTCACTTCAAGGATCGAGTGGATGAGCCAAAAAACAACTCAAAAAAGTTGTCATTCAAAATTGTCCAGACCCAAAAAGTGGCCAAAGTCCAGTCTTTTTTGGGGTACCCCCCGAAAATGGTGGGTTTACTGTTGGTTTCCCTTTGAAACAAAGCACTCGATGTCCCTCGAATTCCAATTTCCAATCTCCTGCAGCTCTTCTGTGAACTCCGCATGATAGGCAATGATGGGCGGGAAGACCAGGAGTTGGAGGATGCAAATCACCGACCTCGCATTGGCAAGGTCGGAAACACACGGGAGGGACGGGCTACGAACTAAACAAGTATCCAGAAAAAGAAGCAGGGAAAGAAGGTGACTCGCACAACAACAAAAGGACCCATGTTAGTTGGTAGGAGGAGGTGTCTTTTGGGTGTCGGCCATGTGGCATCCCTTTAAAAACAAGCCAAAGAGAAGGATGGCTCGCCATTTGACTCACACCCAGTTCTTAGGTTCATTTGGGTGGTCTGTTTTGAGGGGGCCCTTTTTGGGCTCCTTGTAAAGGAAAACCAAAGGGAAACCAGCATGTTTGGGGTCCCCTAGCTTAAGACACCCCGTGTCCGGTTTTGCAGGACCCAACTTCCAAACCCTCAAACCTGCCCGAGCCGTGATTGTCGAGCCCTCCGCCCAAACAACCCGTGTTTTTGCAGGTTCTCACAAAAGCCTGCTTTTTGGGACAGAAAACCCATATTTCCAAGAGGGGTGGATAACATGGAACCTACAAAAAGAGTTGCTTGGGTCCCCCTGACAGGTTATACCTGCCAAGAGGGTTGAAGTTCGCTAACCACCACTTAACTTGGCCACCAAGACCCTGGTAATGTGAACCCACAAACCCCTGAGGCATCTCCGTTCAGTGGGGAACCGGATCACTTTTGTGGAGTTGCAACCCCAATCAAAACAATCAACCAGGTTTAAGTTATTTTTGTGTCCACATCATTCACAAACGAAAAATAAGGAGCATGGGTGAGCTCGTTTTGTCCCCGGAGCTTGTGACATGTTGCGCAGCTTCATCCGGGCCCGACATTGCATCGCTCTCTAAACCTGTCAAGGGAAACATTGGCCAGCAACCAGCAGGCTCGAAATCGGGAGACCGATTTCGGTATACAGACTCACAATAGTTGTTGCTACTTCTGGGGCCTGACCCCACCCCGCACCTAGGTTGCTCTGAGCGAGTCGCAAAGACTCGCAGACCTCCTCAGCGGGGGAATAACCAACTTCTGACGCGGCCAGTCGAAATAAGGAAACCCGGAAACCGATTTCCGCCACCTTCTCAGCGGGGGCAAAAACCCTGAACTTCTGACGTCCGAAGGGCACGTACCAACCGAGGCTTTCAGAGAAGCAGGCGCCCAGGACCAGTAGCCCCGCTGCGCCCAGCAGAATCGGGATGAAGAGCAGCAACACCTCGAAATCAGCTTGGATCCAAATGAAATTCCACGCCCAAATACCGCGTCGTTGCTGTAAACAATAAACAAACAGTGGTACACCATTGGTTGACATGCTGCCGAAAAAGGGGAGAAAGCTAAGTCTGGCATGAAGGTTTTGGCGTGTAAAAGTGGAGCCTGTCCTGAAGCTTTGGAAAATTCCGGGCTTACCTGAACTTCAAAAGAAACGCATCGAATCGCAAGCCGGCAAAGAAACAAAAAACAAAACGGAGACCACGAATCCTAATGTCCCCAGATTAAGGCCGTCGCAATAACAAGCGCGGCATAATTCCCCTCCAAAAGTTGACACCCCCTCACAAAATCAACCAGCTTTGCATCTCCTGGTTCTTCAGTGGGGCCCCCTGAATTGCAAGCGCGCGAGTGTTATCTGTTCGAAAGCTTTGTGCGTTTGCGTGGGCGTGCATTTGAAGAATGATGGCTTTCCCTTTTGTTTCCCTATGAACCCTCAAACAAGAGGCACCCCCAAAAAGGCCACCATGGGAAACTATTGTTTGTTGGTATTTACAGGGGAAGCGAATCATTCCAGGGTTTTTTGAAGGTGGTGCGAAATGGATTTCGCAACCACAGTATCATTTCTAGAATGATGGTTTCCTTTTTATTTCCCTACAAACCCTCAAAGGGGTCACCCCCAAAAAAGCCACCCACACTGCCCCCTTTAAAGGGGGACCCGGTGACCCCCCCGGTTCGAGCCGGCGCCTCCGTGGGCCTCCGGTGCAACCGCCGCGCCAGCAGCGAGCCCAGCGCGCAGGAGATCGCGAAGGCGGCGGCGATGCGCGCGGCGCCGCGCACCGACTGCCCGTAGGTGTCCTCGGGAAGCCAAGCCAAACCCGGGTGGGGTGGGGTGGGGTGGGGTGGGGTGGGTGCGGCTCCTTAAGCTTTTGAGCAAAGGAAAAGCCACCGGCTGCTCTGCGGCGTGGTTCCCCATTCTCTTCACTGGTTCTCTCTAGCTGCCATCAAAAACCCATAAGGTTGGTTTGCACATGTCAAGAGAATCCTGAGAATGGAACATACTTCACCTTGGTTTCCCTTTAACGCAACCAACAAAGAGTTCACTGAAAAATGACAACCCAAAATGTCCCCTAGTGGTGTTGAGCATCACCTGTTGGGGCCAATTTGAAGCGCATTTTGTTTTGGTCCGGTGATGTTTCGAAGGAAGATATACGGGTCCCTGTTGATTTTAGGCCCGTTTGGGTTGTGGGAAAAGGGACCCAACAGGAAAATGGGGGAACAAACTGAAGCATGGCCTGACGGTTTGGTGCCACCTCCCTGCCGGCAGAGTAACCGTTTTCTATGTACCAAGCACCAGTGTGCCTAAAAGGGGCCCAAGGGACACCAAACATCTTCTCGAGTTCCTGGTGAACCATCGAGCATTGGCCTTACAGAAAAGCAACCCGTTGCGCCCGGTGGGAAGCCAAAAGGATGCAGAAAAACCGGCAAAGTGCTAGGTGCCATCTAGCCCCAATCTACCTGATTCTTGGCCCCAATGCGAAACAATTGGCGGCTTGTTCATGCAAAGGTGCCACGTGGAACAAATGTCCTCTTTACACAACCTCCACCAACAGGAGACTCACCTTAAACTGGTCGAAAAGGTGATGTGCAAACCAACCTAAGGGGAATGCGTTTGGAGGGGCTGGACCGCAGGGTTGTGGAATCAAGGGGTTTATTCCCACTTCTGTGATACAAGGGAATCTCCCCCTTTATATGGGGTGTTAGTCTTTGGGAAGCCAATTTGGTTGTATCACAAATTTTGTCATTTCCCACAACCCTGCTGGACCGTTCACCTCAACTGCATCTTAAAATTTGGGAGCCCTCATTCTTTGTGTCTATGTTTCCTCTCAAAGCCCAACCAAAAGGCCTTTCTTTCCCTTAACATTGTCTAAGAAGAGACACACCCGCGTGCCCGCCCCCATTCCAAGATGAAGCCGCCTCCAAGATGAAGCCGTTGGAGGAGATAACAACGTCGAAGAGGCTCTTCCTCGGCAACTTTCGTCGGGATTACATGCCACTCACTTCCTGGGACGGATGGTGATGCTTTGCTCACCCCAAACAAAAATAACAAAAGGACTCATTGGTGGACGCCAGTTACCACTACTTTCGTCCACCAACCCTTCATTTTTGGGTGCGTTGCGTGTTTTCTTCCAGCCCCTGAGCTCCGAAGCTGGAATGGTCCGAGAAAGGATCGGCGCCTGGCTTTTGTCGGTTGAGTTGAGTGTGCGTGTCTGTGTGCTTTAGGCTACCATCGTGGGGGTTGGTTTAAAAGGGAAGGGCAGCCGCCCATTTGGGTCCCCTGATTTTGAGACAAACCCATTTTCCAGCTCCCCCGACCAAGCGCGAGCGAGCGTCGTGGTGCCCACGCACAACAGGATCATCACGCGTCGCCGGTCCCTCACAACGCGGTAGATGTCGCGCCTGAGAATATGGGGTATGGGTCAAAATCAAACCATCAGGAACTGGACCGCAGGTTCAATCGTCCATGTGTCCATTTACCAGGGCAACCCGTTTTGGGGGTACCCTTTTTTTTGACCACCACAGCCAAAAAAAAATCAGCGGCCAAAGCCTTTCAAGGCAAGGCCCCCCCTCCCAAAACCAGCATGTCGACCTGAACCGGGGGGGAAAACCGAAAAAATCGAGGCTGGTCCAGTGATTCATCGCAACGCGAGCAGCTGGAAGCTCATGGCGGTTCCTTGTCGGTATTGTCACTCTGAGGTTGCACTGGCTCCGCTGGCTATGGCTCTGAATCTTTCTATGACCAAGGCACCTTGGGAATACTTTGCCGAGCCCCGTGTGCCACACTCGTTTCCCACGACACAAATCCGGATTTTCGCGCAGCAAAAAAAGAAAGAGGTGGCACCCTGGCGTCGGGATGGGTGCCCATGGCATCCTCCGAATGACTCAAGTGGTTGGAGGGAAGCCGTGGAGTCACCTTGCAACAAGGCTGTCGCCATAGCTTTGAGTCCACGTGGGCAAACCACAGAACAGTGTTTGATGGTTCCTGGGTAGCGGCCCCTAAAGCGCCATTTGCACAAGGGCAACCATCCAGTTTGGGATTTTTCCCCGTTAGATCTTTTCACAATAATCTGGAACCCCCCCCCCTCCTGCCCGCGCCCCGCAGCCCCAGCAAACACGGCTCCTCCCCCGTGCAGCGTGCAGCCAGGCATACTGAGCCCCTCAAAATACCGTGGGTGGCTCTGTGGTCTACAACACAAAACCCGAACAGGGGGGTTACCCGTCCAAAACCCGGTTTGGAGGCAAAGCACCAGTTTCAACAGGCTGCACATCGTTTCCCCACAAATCAGTCATATTCAAAACCTGGTACAAAAATGGTGAACCCAAAATCACACAAAGAGTTACGAAGGCGGCCAGACCTAGTTGTGGTTGGAAGTGTCCCTTGCTAACCTTCACCTACCCAGGCTTTGATTGCGGCTCAAATGTGTAGGTGGGGTGTCTGCATCGCAAAACAAAAAACGCAAGCACTCAAGACCTGGCTTGGCCAATGGGACCAGATCCTAACGTAACCCAAGGAGTAGGGATCTTGCGGATTGCCTTTGAGAAGAAAAACAGAGAGTTGACTTCCAGTTGGCTATGTCTCAAAATAGGGGGATCCTAAGAATGATGGCTTTCCTTGCTGTTTTTTCCCTTAAAGACAACTCCCAAACGGAGCCGAGCCTCAAAAACGGTGGGCTCCCCCTCCCCCCCGGTTGGGCTCAGGCACAGGTATCCCTCGCTGGTCTTTGGGGCGACGGCCGTCTCCTCGAGCACGAAAACGCTGAAGAGCGTCAGAGACAAAGACAAAAGTGCCAGCACCAGGAAGGGACACCTGAGTCGCGATCAAAACCTGGTGCTAAAATGGTCGTAATCCCAGAACCATGTACAGGATTAAGAAGGCGGATATCCGCAGCTATTTATGGTTGGGATCGTCCCTTACTAACCTTCATCTACCCGGGTTTTGATTGTGGCTCACCTGGGCCATCGCCGGCTTTTCAAAACGCCCTCTCGCAGATATCCTCCAAATACCCAAGCGAGAAAAACTTTTTTGTGGGGAGGGGATGGCAAGACTCTTGCATCAAACATGGCTTGGTGCACAGTTTCCACGTTACGGGTCGATCTGCAAACCAGTTTGGAAAAACAGGAAAGCGGGTGGCTACCAGAGATTCCGAAAGGAAACAACTTGCTTGTAACAACTTTGTTGATTTCCGTCGCTCGAAGTCCGACTCGACAAAGCCTTTCAGTTTTTCTTTGCAACCATTTCGTTGGGATGCCAGTGTGCTCGTTCTGCTGGTATTGCTTCCAAGCCCCGCCCCACTAACCGTCGCTCGAGTCCTTGGTTGGGGGACTTGTGAGGTCTATGTTGGGTGTCTGTTGGGATTTCCATTGAAAGAAGTCACCCCACTTGACATCCCAGCAGCACCAGCCCGCATCGTCTGCATCACGAGTGCATCAACAGCTTGCATCCCCAGCATCACCAACATCATCTGCAACGGGTGCTTGTGGCTCGAAAGTTGCTCGAAGCAGACCTGGCAAACACGAAACTGGGTGGAGCTTGATGACTTCAAAAAGAAACACCAACAGGAAGCTTGGAGCAGTGTTTGTTTGTTTAAGGGCACAAATTGAAAACAAGTCCAGGTGCTTTTTTGGTGAGAGATTTCCTTGGGTTCCCGTCGAACATGAGGGATTTCTTTCGCCCTTTTCCAATTTTCCACAGACACGTGAGATAAAACTGGGTGGATCGCTCGCTTGATCAGATTTGGGATCCATGGCCTCCAGCCCGCGTAGGAGGCCAGCAGTCCTCCCATTGAGGGCGCGAAGATGGGGCCCACCAGCATCAGCGACATCAGGGTGCCTCGAGCCCAACCCCCGAGCCCAAACCTCCGTGGAAAATCGCCAAGCAGCTGTCCTACTAATACGCGGTCCATTCCCACTACTTGGGTGTTCGGCCAAGTTAGTGAGGATTAACCCAGAAAAGAATGATGCGGATGAGGAAACGTGTGGCCATAGCAGCGAAGGGTGGAACAGCTTGAATCATTGAGGGTTGGCACCCCCTCTTTGCTCCAGTGTCTCCCTGGGTTCTCCGCGTCCAGTCCAAGCCACCCATGGCCCTGAGCCGCGCCCCGGGGTCCGCGTAGCAGTCCCGCAGGCTCGCCAAGATCACCACGTAGACCGAGGCGGCCAGGCCTGCGTCCGGCCACCGGGGGGGGGGGGCCCAAAAAAGAAAAACGTCCACCCGACCCGCCTGGGAAGGATTTTGAAGGTCGAATTTTTTGAAGGGGGGGAGACCCCCCCGTCTTGTTATTTTTAGGAATCGGACCCCCTAAATTGGTGGCCTTGCTCTTTGTTTGTTGGTTTGGTGTTCGTTGAAAAACACGCCAACCAGAAGGGCACCTCAAACGTGGTACCTCAAAAGTGATTGGTGCACCTGTTCATCCCTGAATTCTGAACAAAAAGCCTCAGGCACCGAGTTCGTTGGTCACGGTTCCACGTCGGTTGACCAGGAAACAAATCCCTTCGCTCGGGTACGTGCCCAAGGGAAACCAAAAGGAAAACCACTGTTTTTGGAAGACGTCCTAAAAAACGACACACCCAATCAAGAAAAAGAAGCAAGAGCAGAAATACAAGAGGAAGACAAACTGCAGGAGACAGCCAGAACCGCGTGGCACAAAGAGAAGGTGCTTCCTTTTGGCTTCCCTCAAGCCGACCAGAGCGGGCTAGCTGTGTCATCACCAACCCTGTTTCCTGCGTGGGTCATCCTAAATGGGTTCGTGCCATCAATTTCTAACCAAAGTAACCTAAAAAAGGCACCTGTGGTGCTAACAAATGGATTCCTTTCGGATACTACACACACGATCGGCTGGGGCAATCACACCCATGCATTACCCGGTAACCGTGTTCTCCGGACACTCACTGTTCAAGGCTCCAAACTAAAAACAGTAATACAGCCAAAACCTTAGCGATGCAAAATCGAACATATCCCTTTACAGGAACCAAAGACAGATAAATGTCTTTGTCTAAAAATTGAAAAGACACACTTTCCGGGAACTCTGCATGTTCTATGTTTCCATCCAGCTATTTTAGGGCCGCGCCATGGCGCGTCCGGGGGGTAACCGAACGCCGTGTGTGGCGCGCGCCTTGCAGCACGCGCCCGGCCATGAACCAAAGCAGGTCTGAGGCGCACATGCACGCGAAGGTGCTCACGGCCAGCATGGACTGGCACGCCAAGATCACGGGTCTCCTGGCCACGTTTGGAGGAGGACCACGCTCAAAGCTTCGGATTTTTGTTTGTTTGGTTGGCACCCCTTTTTGCTGGTTCAAAAGACAAACCAAAGCAAATCCACGGTCCCATTAAAAAGGACACTCCCAGAATGAAAGCTGGCTTCCAGCACTTCGTACCCGTTTGTAGATGGTTTACCCAGTTATGGCTTTAAGTTATGGCGAACTGGTGCGAAGTGGATCTTGTCCATCCACAGGAAAAACCCGTGGTAAAACCTAGAGGCCAGCAAAGGGTGGCCTGTGGCGAAACGCCTGGAACGCCTTTCGGATGACACTTGCCAGCATGGCGTCCGAAACTGTTCTTTTTCATGGGCGTGTGGTAAAGGGGGGCCCCAAACAAGCTGCGGCTGTCCTCTCTTGATTCCCTCGCCTTTTGGTCAAACAATGGAACCCCTTTTAACCCAGCTGTGAATCCTGGATCCCCTGAAAATCAAGCACCGAAAAGAAAGTGACTTTCTCTTCCCAGGGAAATTTCACCGGTCTGGGTGACACACGGTCACGCAACTCTTGCCAGTGGGAAGAGGCGAGATCGGCACAGGCATGTGCGGGGAATCATTTTGAACATTCGGAGCCACGAGGAAAAGGCACGCGCGAAAGCCTGCTCAACTTAGGGGACGTGCTCTCACGAACACCCTGGGCAAACTACTATAGTTCCCACAGCGGCGTTTTAACCCTGGATTGGTGAGCTCGGTGAGCTCGGGGGGGCCCCAGAGGGGACTCTTGGGTCGGCCGAACCTTTTCAAGGGGAAACAAATTGGGATAGAGCGCACCTCTGTGTCTGGAATCCCGTATTCTCAAACCACAATTTGCTTCCCTCAAAAACAACGCTTCAGCCCCCAGTGTCCTGCCCATGCGGTCACTGAGCGGGCCCACCATCAGGGTCCCCGCAGCGCAGCTGAGGAGATGCACCTGTTTGGCTTGCCCAGGTTCGTGAATCAGCCTTCTGCGAAGAATTCGGGGATGAGATTCTTAGTGCTTGGTGCAACTAACTGTACGACTGCTTTGTGCAACTGGTTTGGGGACGAGATTATTTTAGAGGGTATCCTTGTTCAGGAAACACCATACAAAATCATGTTCAGTCGGTCATTTGTCGGATTTTCAGGAAACCACCCAAACCCCAGTAAAACAGTATTCAAAGAATGGTGGAAGTGTTGGTTGCCCTTAAGATTGAACAAATAAGCCCCAGGAATGGTGCTAAAGGAACCCTGTGATCGAAGAGTTCTGATCGAAGAGAACTAAAGAATAAGGATATCGGCAATGATGTTTCGCTTGATCCATAGAGAACCAAAACCAACAACAGAAGAAAATGGAGCTGGAACCATGCTATTTTCTGTGGTGAATGCTTGGGCAGCATGTGTTCAAGCGCTCACCCTTCCATGCCAACACATGGAAATCTAGCGAACCCGGGTGCCCTTCGTAATCCACCTAGGCCTCGAGTGCCCGATTTCTCTTGCGGGCGCTCGGCCCGACAACCGCTGGAAGCCTCTAGCAAAACACTCAGCGGAGAGAAAGGGAGGCCACTGAACTATTGGTTCTGAAAAAGGCTTCAAAGGGGAGCCAAACGGAAAACGCACCTATTTGGGGCCCCCCCCTGTCGGGTCTAAGCTTCAGCGCTGGCGTTTCAGGGGATTGAAAAGCTCCTGGCCATTTTGTGGCGCGGGAGTACTTCAACAAGGTCAGTTGCTTCCCTTCGGGAGCCACAAGGCGGCTCGGTTCCGCCGAGCCCAATATTGGGACCTTTTTCAGGGTCGCTCCCAGCCTCGTGTTGCTTGAAGAAACCCTTCCCAACCAAAAGGGGTCCATCCACAAGACGGGTCCGGGGTTCTGCCCTAAAAAAAGGGAACCCAAAGCGAGTCAAGGGGGCCGAAGTTCCACCAACCCCCAAAAAAAGAAACCCTTAAAAAAAGAAGGCGGGTCGGCATGGGGGCTGAGTTTTTTCCATTAAAAACACCAAAAAATACCAAACATATACGATCAAGACCGGTGACCTCTTAGATTTATTGGGGTGCGTTTTTGTTTTTTTGGCTGATGACATGCAAGCACAGATTCATTTTCGATCCAATGAAGACTCAGATGCATCCAGACCTGGAAAATGAGCTAGCTTCAATCTGCACAGAAGACAGCCTGTTGAGAACTATTTTGCACAAATATCATTGTTGGACACAAATATTTAGCAAACGTGTGTCTGTAGCTTATTTTTGGATAATTGGCATGCTAACGCATGCCAAGTTTGTAAACCTCACGGTGCTAACTTTTGGAAGACGTATGTTTGGCACAAATCTTCAACACAAGTTGCATACGTATGCAATATTTTGGAAGGCGTATGCTTAGCAATCTGCAAGCAGATGTATGTTTGGGACAAATATTATTGTTGTGTTGCAATTCTGAAACACGTAAGTATGGCAAGCACAGCTTGCCACGCATATGAAATCATAAGAAAGGTAAGATATCACTGATCTATGCAGCTTTCAGCTGCAAGACTCATCTCTTTTTACAGTTGGATGTTCAATATTTTTCAATATACGCACGGGCTCTGCCCATGCTCTTGAGAAAAGACAGCTAACACAAACATATTTATCGCATAATGAGCTGGAGCAATTGGAGCACAGCTCCAATCTAGTTGCTTGAGCTCAAGATGCAAAGATGAGCACCTGCAACGATATCTGCAGATGCAAATAACATTCTCTGCATAAAGCTGTTCAGCTTTGAAATAAGAGCTTTGGAATAAGATTCTCTGCAGCTATTCGTGTTGCTGAAGAGCTCTTGCAACAGCAAAGCTGTTCAGAATAGATTCAAGTAGACACAAGCCACAAGCAATTGCTTGTGATGAGATGTTACCTGCAGAAGATGAAATGAGAGATGGGATAAATCATCTCCAGATACCTGGAGTTACATGCAGAATATCTTGGAAGAGGCTTATGTTCTGTTGATACACATCTCATCATATTATTGATGTCTTGCATCAAGAAAGCTTGCATCAAGAAAGCATCAACAAAGTATTGTCTTCAAATGATGGGCTGTGTTTTTTGTTTTTTTGGTTTTCTTGGTGTTTATAAGCAAAGGCACCAAAAAAAAACAGACCCATGGCCCTGAACTAGCAGATGCAGATGATGGGCTGTGTTTTTTGGTTTTCTTGGTGTTTATGAGCAAAGGCATCAAAAAAAAAAAAAAAACAGACCCATGGCCCTGAACTAGAAGATGCAGATGATGGGCGGTGATTTTTTGGTTGTTTTGGTGTTTTTGGTTGTTTTTTTGTTTTTTTTTGTTTTTTTTGCTGAAAAAACTCAGCCCCCAGGAATCTGAAAAACTCAGCCCCCAGGAATCTGAAAAAGCTCAGCCCCCATGACGACCCCTTCTGTAAAAAAAACACAAAGCTTCCACCCACAAGGTAGGTCAAAGGGGCGCCGCCCCCCAAAAATGGGCCTGGATGGTGTAGCCCATCGCGCTGGGGGACACCTGAAAGACCTCCGCCATCTGCGGCATGCTGGGCTGGTACTGATCCTCCCAAGCCCGTTTTCAGTGCCGTGGCGCTGGGACTCGGACCCAAAATCCAACATGGAGCTCGATGTGCGCCTTCCGTCCCCAACCAACAAACATGATCCACCGTCTTGGAAAAGACACACCCATTTGGGGCTTGTGTCTGGTTGCCGGGTGAGGTCACCCCAAATCACGGGAAAAAGTGAAGCTACTCTATGGCGAGAAGGTGACTACGCTCCCCTGCAAAAACGGCGGCGCCACTGTTTGCCTAGGCAAAAGTTAAATGAAAGGGAAAGGCTTTGGTCTGCTGATGCTAAACAACTGCAGGAACAGCGTGCTTCTCTTGTTGTTTGTTGCTTTTTGTTTGCCAAGCTCGGCACGTTCAACATCTGCGCCTTTGGCACACTGAACAAGGGGGAACTAACTATGTCGGACTAATGTAGGACCGATCAACAAGGAGGGATGCGGAATGATGGAAGTTAAAGCTTTTCTGCTCATCGAGAATCGGGGGCACTGTTTCAGGGCTCGGAATGGAACGTGTTTTTCGCCGGCTCCCAGTTTTGCCAAAAGCTCTTGCCTAAAACGCGGCATGCGTGCTGCCTTCTGCCTCCCAAAGCGCCCAGCCTGAATATGCAAAAGCTCTGTACTACTGTTTGAGGATGCGGGGGAAAAAAAAAGCAGCCCTAGGCCCACGAAACCACCAGAACTCAAATGTGGGCATCTAAGTGGTGACCTCCCCCGGGCCCCTCCCCTGCCATGTGCTGCTAATGGTGCCTCAAAAACCCCTGCTTCGCAAAGCTCTTGCCTGAAAGGCACCGTGCTTGCTCCAGGTCTCCAAAGGAAATGCTTGAGTCAGTTTTCTCCCCCCTCCCGAAAAAAGGTTCTCACCCCCAAAGTGGGGGGTAATTCAGGCGCCTCCCATTGTTTGGGGGGGCATGAAGAAGCAGAACCCTGCATTACGCGCCAAAATACTTATTTACTGTATGTAGAAGAGGGGAGAGAGAGAGAGAGAGAGAGAGAGAGAGAGGCATGCATTGTGAAAGGTCCTGCTACATAGACAGGTAGACGGACAAACAGAATGCCCTGCTCTACCCCTTCATCTAAACCGGCATCCCCCGGCCATCCGCGCTTCAACAACCTGCGTGTTCGGTCACCCATCTGTCCGTGCAGGAGTAGTCCAGCAACATGGTCGTCGCTAGCGCCAGGTTCATGTTCTTTGACATTCCCGTCTTCTCCTGGCCATAACCACATAATCATACTTTCGGGCTGTTCTGTGTGTGTGTGTGTGTCTCTAGACGGCCGGAAACCAGTGGGTCGTCTTGAAAAGCCAAAAGGAACCTCGTGCTCTTTTCTGGGGATCTAGATCCTCTGGGCCAAGTCAGTAAGGCACTCTTGAAGCAACCTCTTGAGATCATAGGACCACATATGTGACAAAAAAAGGCCACTGGTGGATGGACAAGACCTGTTTCTCGACTGGGTCGCCTTGAAAGTTGCCCGCGCCGGTTCCAATGATGTACGGGAATTCCCTTTAAACGACCGCTTAGAGGGCAAACATGGGTATGTCTGTTTTGGAAGGTAGCGCTTGTTTGCTGGTTTTAAAGGAAAGCTAAGAGGAAACCACCATTCTGGAGGATGTCACTTTCGTGATAAGGGGCGGTTCCCTGCTTGGTGGGGCATCTGCTCATTCGAGGGGATTCCTCTGACCAGGATCCGAAGCGAACATGGCCAGATCCAAACAAAAAGGGTGTGTCCTTGTGTGGGGGTGTGGCGGGATGCCCCCCAATTAAAAAAAAAGACTGCCAACTCCAGGAAGACGTACCATCCCAGGCCAGCCTAAAGCGGACAACGGTCTTCCAGGAGCCCCCTGTCAGCTTCAATACTGGGGGGAGGTCATGCCACCAAACTAGCCCAAAAGTGACCAAAGCTCAGGAGAACTCGGGGGGGGGAGTGGGCGAAGATGTCCCGCAAACTTTCCCCGCGCTTCGCCTCTCCCAAAATTCGCCAAACGGCGGCATCCGACTATCGGCGCCTGCGTGCGGAGGCCTCCGCGCGGCAGGCCGCGGCACGCCGCGGCGGGGAGGAAGAGGCACAGCCCCAAAACCAGCAACGCCAGCGAGGCACGGGAGGTCCACCTCGGGCGGGCGAGCGTGGAGTCGCTTCTTATGTGGATCCAGCTGGGTCGAAAAGCCGGTAACTTGAAAAGGAGCTGGGGTCAAAAAGGGGGAAAACCCCAAGGGGAACCCAGCAATCTGGAAACAAGGACTAAAGTGTGCGGGTAGTATTTCCTGGTGGATCCAACTGGCTCCGCCTTGAAGTATACTCGGACCGCTTTGATTCTGGGAAGCGCTCAGGCCGAGCAGCTCCATTGCACACCACACCGCGGAGAGCGTGGGGTGCTGCATCCACCACCGGTCCTCTGACAAGTCCCTCAGCTGGATTCCTCCCTCCGCCCCGAGCAAGGTCTTTCTTGCGTCAAGTCTGACCTCTTGCAGCTTTTGCATGTATTAACACGAGGTCCTCCAGTAGAGAGGTTAGAATAAGGGCACCCTTTTTTCTGTAGTCTATTTCAGTAGGGGAACCCTCCCCCAAAAAAGGGCAAAAGGGCACTACCGGGGGACCTAGACAACTATTTGTATCTCTACCGTCTCTTTTTGGGCGCTTCGCTTGGGTCATGAGACGAATCGCCACAGATCTAGCTCCGGAAGCTTCTACTGAGGGATTTTGGGAATGAACTGAAAGATGCCCAAGGAAACCACCAAATTTGAGGCAACAGGTAAGGCCATGAGCAAAGCAAAAGCCACCCCATTCAATTCCCCAATTCTCAGACAAACGCACACGTGATGCCAAAGATTCCCATCCCCACGACCCTTCTTGGCCCAACTAGATCCTAGTTCATGGCTAAGTCTTAAAAAAAGACCATGTGTTCTGACACCACAAACTTGTCATGATATCTCTGAAAGGGTTAACTTACAGGAACAAATCTACAGGAAACAGGCCCAAAACATGCTGAACAAGCTGCTTTCCTGTGAAAGTTCCTGCAACCCCACCCTCGGAATATCTCACTTATAGCCCACCCTCAAAAAAACATCAGCTTGAAGAAGGCCCTGGGCCCTAGATCTCTCATTCTAAAGGGGGGTTCACTGACGAAGTCGAAATGTGTTTCTTCCAGAGCCCCGATCCTCAAGGGATTCAAGATCAGTATGGGTCAAAAACAAAAGTGGGACCCTGGTAAATGGAAACAGGGAGACCCTCCAGTCCCCGGGTGGCTAAATTTTGACATGCATCCCCATATCTCTGTTCGAGCAACGCGAGCCAAACGTCCCATGCACCTCACAGCTTGGGACTCCTTTTCGTTCCCCAAAGGGTTGGTAAGTTGCCCTTGGATCATACCAAAAAAAACATGATTGAGTGTTTAGAAAGCGAAAATGCGGATTTAGATGATGAGTTGGGCTACACCTAAGAGGCCCTACCTGACCAAGATCACGAGGTGAGAATGCGGTCATTCAGATAGGGTCACCGTTGTCTTCTACCGCCAGCACGCGAACACGCGAAAAAGAATCACAGCGGCGCCAAGGCAGCAGAGCGCCGAACGCACAGAAAACAGACATGGCCCAACTTGAAGACGACTTGGGCTCAAAAAGCAGGGTTGTTTGTGGATGTGTCCTTTCAGGAACCCGTCAAAACGACGTGAAAATCAATATCAACCCGTGAATTGCGCGGATGGTTTCAACAAGGCGTGCCTGCATTGTATCGTGGGCCTTCCGAGCGGCTATCCCCTGTTCACCAAGAAGTTGCCGTGTTATGGGCTTATCTTGGCTTCTCCTAGGCTTACCGATGACCAACCCCCACCCCAACAGCCCCTTGGAGGTCCCTCATTTTCCTTGGAGAGTCCCCCCAAAATGTCGAGCCCCAAGTCACAAACCCCTCAGCTAAAAAATGACGGCATGCCCTTTTCAGTGGGGATACATACCTTTTATCCAGGGATGGTTCATAAGTAACAAGTGCGGCTTTGACATCAGGTTCAGTATTCTGCGGACGCAATTTTGGCTTGGCGATTCCATGGAAGCTCCCAGTCCAAGCCGGACCGCCTCGCGATTCGCGCCTTTTCGGAACCCAAATCCTTCTTTTCTGTGTGGTGTATCAAAGGGGAAACCCTAGGTCACATTTGCAAACGGGGCTTCGCATCTATCCCACCAAGAAAGTTGGGGGCCGCTCCGAGCCAGGCGGCACGGCCAGGGCCGTTTCATTCGCCATCCTGGCGGAAGAAACGGCGAATGTGGCGAACCCCAAACCCATGTAAAGATTCAGGCGGCCGCATGGTTGGGGGAGTGGCCCTAACCTTCACTTACCCAAAATGTTGGATTGCGGCTCCTGAGGGTCTGGGGGTCCCAAATACCTGGCTCGGGGAACCCAACCGCGTCATGTTCGTGGATGCGCCGGGAGTGGGCTGGAAGCAACTCGCAGAAATTCCGTGTGACTTTACATTTAGGCGGGTGCGTTGTTCCAGTTGTCCAGCCAGTCGGGAGGGTTTATTTTCCATTTAAATTCGACATACCGGAACTCGGGGAATTCCCCTTGTTCAGAACCTTGATGAGCGCTTGAATTGTGTCGCCCGGATCATTGCTCGGAGTCGCTCGTTGCACTTGGGATTCTGGGTCGGAAAGTAACTCGCTTGCCCCAAAAAGAAAAGTTGGAGAATACATCCAAAAACCGGCTGCTTGACACGAGATCAACTTCGCCCCGCTTCAAGTGCCCCCCAAAGCGCCCCTGCCTCGCAGCTTCGGCGGCAAACGGCTCGCCCGGGCTGCGATTTGTTGGGGGTCTGGGGAGTTGGGGATGTGGCTGACGAATAAGCCGGAAGAGGCGAGCTGCCCTTGGTTGTTCAAAGGGGAGCAATGTCCGTTTCTGCTTTGAAGTCTGTCTTTACTCTAGAGTCTAGAGGCAAGGAATCAAGGAGGCTCTCAGTGTTCCAGTTGTCCGCACCACTATTGAGCGTTTGGCAAAATCAGTGGGGAGCTCTCTTTTGGCATCGTCTTGACAGGGAAACAAGAAACATTTGCACCTTTGTTTTTTTCAGGGGACTGTTTGCAGCCGAAAGACTCAAGAAGCATGAGAGCCCTTATTTTTGAGTTGTGTTACCGCTGGTTTCGCAAACGTGCATTGTTGTTTTTTTTCTGATTGAAGGTGCCTGTCTCGAGCGGATCTTGCTTTGTTTCTCAAGCTGCGAGCCGGAAGGCGGCGTCCGCAAAACTTTGCACGCGTCTTGAAAGGAACCTGGAAACTCAAGTTGCATGGTTGTGAACAAACCATCCCGTGCTGAATCGATGACAGCGGAATGTCAAGCTAATGTCCCAACTGAATAGACCAAGGTCCTGCTGACATGACTTTTGTGCGTCCAAAAACCTCGCAGGAACCTCTTGAGGGTTGCTTCACAGCCTCTGGCAGGGCAAACATGGGCTGTCTCCAAGGGTGGCATGAACCAAAATTGGTTGAAACAAAGTAGCTGGTCGGATCCAAATCCGAGCCCAGCTTGGTAAAGAACCCCTTTGGGCAGCAGCCCCGAATTTGGCCCAGGAAGGGAGCCCAAGGAAACCAGGCCGATGTCCGACCCTGGCGATCCTCTTTGCACAGCTCGCTCGGATGGTCGTTTTGATCCAAGGGGTCAGATTGAATCTTGGGGGGTTTGGGAGTACTTGGGGTCCAGTTTGCAGCGATCCTCTTACGGGTATTGGTGTTGGGTACCAAGTTGTTCCCCACCCTGTGATGTTTGCGTACCTCTGACAAACAACAACTAAGCCCAGCTGGCATCACCAACGGCAACCCCTAGAAACCTTCCGGACCTTTTGGGGACGATAGCGCGCAAAACAGCTCGTGTGGCCAAGTTTCCCCAGCTCTTTGTCATTACCATGCCGACTTTGTCACTTTGAAGATGTGCTGACCGACATGTCTGTTGCCTAGGCCACATGCCCGAAATGGGTGGCTGGTTGAACCCACTCAAAGGGCCTTGTGAGAGCGGTCGCTTCTGTGTGTACGGGCATAAGTGTCCTTTTGGAAGAATAGATGGGTTGCCCCGGTAAATAGGGCACAAAGTCCATCTAAACCACTGGAATCCATCCGTTTCTAGCCAAACTCACCGATCCAAAGGACACCGGACATCCCGATCTGTGGAATCCGCTCCAAGGATCCACAGCCGGATTCGGCAACAAACCCAAGTTTGTTCTGTGGGGAAAGGGGCTCCCTGGTTTCTCCCGACCCCCAACCTATTGTTCACTTTAGCATACACCGAACAAAAACGATGTGGAAACCCTTTGCAAAAGCTAGCAAAAATGGTCGTCAATTTGGCCCAGACATCCTGAATGAACCATCTTTCCCAAGGTCCCTTAAAGCATAACCCAAGAGCCTTGTGGCTCCCGCAGCTCAGGTCTGAGAATCTCACAAACTCGCTGGGCCCCGCGCCGCGCCGCGCTGGTCGATGCGGTCCAGGCCTTGCTTTGAGTTGGTGGTGATTTCTGCAAACCAAACCACCAATTAGGAAAGCGAACAAATCTAAAACCCCTGATGTGGGGGTTGATCAAACGGTCCGCAATACATGGATGACCATTGGTTGGAAAGCCACTAAGACGATGATATTTGCCAATAAATGGGAAAAGTGACCTATGGTCATTTGGGGGCCAGAAATATTGATCAACCCCAATGTCTGTTACTCATGAAACAAACTCAAACAAAACCCAGCAATCCTAAATAACGATGCCTGATACTGTGGATGGGCATAATCCACTTCGCACGATGGATAAAGCCTATGGCTATATACTGGGATTACACAAAACAACAACATACCAATTGGTGCGAGGTGGATTTTGCCCATCCCACAATAGCACGACTTTGCACCAGCAGACTGCCAATGCGATCTTGCTACTCGCATGGCTGTGACCTCAAAAGTGGCTGGGTCCTGAGGAGTTTTTATGTGCACCAAGAGGTCCGACTCCGGCCCGATCGGAAGGGCAGAACTTTCGGTCCTCGGTAAAGGGAAGCCAAAGCTGCGCCGTTTCAAACCCCACTGATGCTCAACTTGAAATTATTTGGACCCCCCAAAAAGTCGTCCTTTTAAAAACAGTTTAAACGCTCGGAATTGAAGGAGAAAGAATGGAAATCACTCACCAATGTTCCGCCGTTTGATCATCTTTCAGGAACGTCCAGCACCCCGCGTGCAAGCCGCTGGTAGAGCTCAAAGACTTGGCCCCGCGTTTCTCCCAAGCGCCTTCAAAATGGTGCCGTCAGGTCGTTGCGGCGGCCTGGGCCCAGTCGAGTTGCCTGGATGTAAGCCCGTCGGTTTCCAAGGTGCGCATCGCAGAACTGCCAAAACCCG